ATATGGTGACAACACCATATTTGTTGTTATAGTAACAACAACATAGGTGGACCAATAGGAACCCACCATTCTGCATACTTTTGAAAATCATGCGTTGACTAGGGTAAAATACAAAGGAAGGGCATTTTTGTCCTACCAAAAATTGGCAGCTCCTTTTCCGAAAATTTCCAGCTCCTTTTGTCCGAAAATTTCCAGCTCGTTTCTCTCTCCGTTTCTCTCTCTGTCCAATCGCGCGGCGCCGAGGCTGAACGAGGGCGACGAATCCTCATCGGAGCAACGCAACTACTGCAACGGCGGCGACGCAACGGCGGCGACGAGAGCTTGATCGCAGCAGCTACAGCAACGGCGGCGACGCAACGGCGGCGACGAGAGCCTGATCGCAGCAGCTACAGCAACGGCGGCGACGAGATCCTGATCGCAGCAGCTACAGCAACGGCGGCGACGAGATCTGATCGCAGCAGCTACAGCAACGGCGGCGACGAGATCTGATCGCAGCAGCTACAGCAACGGCGACGAGATCTGATCGCAGCAGCTACAGCAACGGCGGCAACGCAACGGCGACGAGATCTGATCGCAGCAGCTACAGCAACGGCGGCGACGGCTGAGCAAGCTCCTGATCGCAGCTAAGACATTGACGATGGATGAGAATCGTGTAGATGAAGTTTCTGTTGGTTCTGTAGATGCTCAACAACTCCTGCAAATTGCAACATCTTCTGAAAATGCAACAGAAGTTGGATATCAGCTGGAAACCTCTATTTCCACTAACAGTGGCAACAATGAACAAGAAGAAGGTACGCTCAACTCAATCCTTCCTGTTTTCTTACAATGAGCACCACAATCACGCTTATACAAGCCATTTACCATATCATAAGCACTACCAATCAAACCGCCCACAAAAATCCCACAAACGATACCAAAAGCATCGCCAAACACACCACATTCGTCCCAAAACAAACCACAGGAAAAAAAGAGACTATCAACCAAAACACTTTAGAAACAAACCACAATACTTCTTAAACGCACCAAAACACCTCCAATGCACACCATTAAAACCTAAATCGTTACATTCTGCAATCTGTTTGTAAAAAAAGCACATTGTAATGCAAACCATAAATGTTATAAAAGATTCATGAATAACTACAATGCAAACCACTTTTCACTTTTCTAGCAAATATCATTGCAAGATGAAATCAGTAAACCGCCCACAAAAATCCCACAAACGATACCAAAAGCATCGCCAAACACACCACATTCTTCCCAAAACAAACCACAATACTTCTTAAACGCACCAAAACACCTTCAATACACACCATTAAAACGTTAATCGTTACATTCCCCAATCTGTTTGTAAAAAAAATCATACACTGTAATGCAAACCATAAATGTCATAAAAGCATCATGAATAACTACAACCCAAACCACTTTACACTTTTCTAGCAAAAATTATCGCAAGATGAAATGATCAAGTGCTCATTTCTTTCATCATTGCTTACAGGTGTGACATCAAACAGGTCCGAGTCAGACTACACTAGTTTGGGGTTGGCATTCAAAACCATTGAGGAAGCAAAACAATTCTACAAGAACTATGCTCACGACCTTGGCTTCAGCGTGAGGGACATGGGAGCTGTCAAACGTTCTACAAAAAGACAGCCAACCAAAACAGCACGATATGCTAGGTATTGCTGCAGCAAAGAAGGATACAAGACCACAAGCAAGTCAAATCCCAAGAATAAAGGATCAATAGATGTGAAGGCTTATCAACGTGCTGTACCAGAAACTAGAGTTGGCTGCCCAGCTATAATCAAATTCAGATATGATATCGAGAAGGATGAATGGCTGCTGGACAAGTGGATAACAGAACACAACCATGATCTCCTCCCTCCAAAATTCAAACATCTCTTGAGGTCGAACAAGGGGATCTCAGAAATGCATGCAATGGTCGCAAAAGTGCATGCAGATTGTGGAGTTTCACTACGGAAATCATATGAGTTGTTCACCACAACTTCAGGAGGGAGGGAGCTTACAAGAATCCATCATTCTTCTATGAAATTGAGGTAGATAGTAACGAAGATATTGCAAGTATATTCTGGGCTGATGCAAGAATGCGGTTTGACTACAGTTGCTTCGGAGATACGATCAGCTTCGACACCACATACAGGACAAACCAGAATTATCGTCCACTAGGTCAGTATTCCTTGCACTGGTTTGCTTTGTGAGGTTTGTGGTTTTCTTTGTGAGGTTTGTGGTTTCTTTTGTGAGGTTTGTGGTTTGCATTAATAGATTTCTGGTCTGCTTCCGCAAATGTTGTGGTTTGCTTTGTGAGGTTTGTGGTCTGTTTTATAAGATTTGTGGTGTGCATTAAAAGGTTTGTGGTTTGCATTAAGAAGGATTCCTTGCACTAGATAATTTTCTTGATATTTCGAAATTGAATGCAAACCAAACATTACGCAATGCATACCACAAACCTCCTAAACCATACTAAAAACGTCCTGAAGCACACCATATATATCAAAAAAGACAGCCTTTGTTTGTTTCAATGTTTAATTCTATGTTGTTCTTTTTTTTATTTTTAATTTACAGCTTTGTTTGTTGGCTTCAACCACCATCGTGCACTTTGCATCTTCGGGGCTGCTCTCCTATATGATGAAACAACCGCTACATTCAAGTGGTTGTTCGATGCATTCTTGAAATGTATGTCAGGCAGCCGACCAACATCAATATTCACCGACCAAGCTGCTGCAATCGCCGCTGGGATTAGATCCGTCATTCCTGAAGCATTCCATGGCTTGTGTACTTTTCATATCAAGCAGAATGCAATGAAGCATCTCGACACCACAAACACAAACATTCTAGAAGATCTACAATATGTCACTTTTGGAGTAGAAAATGAGGAAGAATTTGAGTACAATTGGTCAAGGTTGCTAGACACATATTATCCAGAAGAAGGCACCAATCCAAGGAACTGGTTGGATTCAATTTACAAGGTGAGAAAACAGTGGTCTTCAGCATGGATTAAGGACCACTTCACAGCTGGTATGCGAAGCTCACAGCTGAGTGAGTCTTGTAACAGCAACCTCCGAAACTACCTTCAACCAGATGACAACCTAGTTGAGTTCTTCACATACTTCAACAAGTTGCTCGAACGGAAAAGATCAGACGAAATGGACATGGATTATCAAATGGCAAACACAGTCCCAAACAACATGTACGTATTACTTCCTTTATTTGAACTTTTTATACTGTAGAATGCATCCACAGAACAGTTGAATACAACCCAGATACCACCTAAACCAACCCAAAACCCCTACAATCCACACCACAGACAACCTAATCCAAACCATAAACACCACAATGCACACCGCAAAAGCTTAAACAACCCAGATACCACCTAAACCAACCCAAAACCCCTACAATCCACACCACAGACCACCTAATACAACCCATAAACACCACAATCCACACCACAAACAGTACAATACATACCATAAAATCATTAATGTAGACAAGATGTTTTATGAATGATTGTATGTTGTATGTCATCTTCCAACAGGTATGACAGAAGCCCACTTGTTCAGCAAGTCGCAAAATTATACACAACTAAGATCTACAGTTCTTTCCTTGAGGAGTATTCAGAAAGCCTTGCTTTTTTTGTGTTCCGGAATGAATCTATGGATAGAGATGGAATGACAGCTTATGAAGTGAAGAAACTAGGAGGATTCGGCAAAAGAGTCGTGTTAGTGAACAAAGAGGAGAAGAAATACAAGTGCTCATGTCGTTTGTTTGAAAGTTCAGGCTGGTTGTGCAGACATGTAATCAGGCAGATAGAGATGGTTGGATTCAATGGTGATGATATTGAGCAATTGACTATCCCTAAGGAATACATTCTGCCACGATGGACGAGAGATGCCAAATCTGGAGAGAAGTTCACAATAAACACAACAGAATGTGCTGCAACAGATACTTATGCAGGGAGGTATCAAGAACTGTGTGCTAGCATGGTTATCCTAGCAACAAAAGTCTCAATGAATGACAAGGTCTTCTCAATGGTTAAGGAGAAGATTGCAGAGCTCACTAAACTAGCTTTCCAAAGCCTTCAGACTCAAGAAACTCAGCAAACAGTACCTGGTAATTTCACACATCTTGTTAGCATCCCTACTTATATTCACCAGTAATTGCTTAATCCAAGCCACAAATGATCTAATGCAAACCATAAACATCTTAATCCAATCCACTAATTGCTTAATCCCTACTTATGTTCACCAGTATCTTGCATATTGCTTTTTCAACAGATGGAACCACCAATACATCACCCTCACAAAGCGCTGCTGCTTCAGCTACAAATGACAAGTATGCCAATGTGAAGGGATTCAAGGCTCGAAAAGACCCATGGAAATCAAAGAAGAGGCTAAGAGGTGGACTTGAGGTAGCACTGGAGAGGGCTAGAAAGCAAAGAATTGATGAACAGGCCGCCAACAAGCGTTACAAAAGCAACAATGAGTGATTAGTTTCCTTGTTGTTATCCGTGTTTTTTTTCTGTCATAAACTTTTAGATTTCAATGACAACTATGAGACAAATATGAACAGTTGCAGGTTTTTGATAATATTTGATCAACACAGATACAGTTGAATACAACCCAGATACCACCTAAACCAACCCAAAAACCCCACAATCCACACCACAGACCACCTAATCCAAACCATAAACACCACAATACACACCGAACAAGGTTAAACAAACCACAGATACCACCTAAACCAACCCAAAAACCCCACAATCCACACCACAGACCACCTAATCCAAACCATAAACACCACAATGCACACCGAACAAGGTTAAACAACCCAGATACCACCTAAACCAACCCAAAAACGCTACAATCCACACCACAGACCACCTAATCCAAACCATAAACACTACAAACCACACCATACAGGAAAGAAAACAAACTACGAAACCTCTTAACAAAACCAAACCACAAACATATGGAAACTTTCCAGAACACTCATTAAGCAAACCACTTATGTATTAACACAAACCACTTGTCTTATAATACACACCATACACGACGAACACAAATCCTCTTAATCAACACCATTAACACACTAAAACACATATTAACACACTGAAATCTGAAACTGTTCTTGCAAATGCATGCTAAAATCAGCTAGTCCACCTTGCGATCAAACTCCAAACTCTTCTTCTTCACCTCTTCAAGTACACTGTTCTCCTTGTTCAGCAGCAATGTTAATGTGATCTCATCCCGCCTCTGATTGATTTGTCTTTGCCAATTCCTCATAGCTGGATGCAGTTTGCCATCCCAAAACTCAGCAAAATTCATAGTAAAAACACCACAGTCAATCCCACCACGTTGTCTCACCCCTCGCTGTCTAACCCACTTGAATTCTTCAAATTTGAAGGGCTCTTTTCTGCAGGCAGGAATGTATTCTGTGGCATAGCGGACCACCATATCCGCAACAGCACGAAACTTGGAATCAAGGTCGTCAGGGTAAAGGCTGTCAAGATAATCATACCGTTTGTTCTTCAGATTCACTACATACATCCTGTAGTGGTCATCAGAACAGTGGGGGAACATCCACTGCATGCAGAACAAAAACAAGTCAGTACTCCAAAAGCACAATGAAGAAAAAACACACATGAAACAATCTAGCAAATCTGACTAAAAAAATACATACATAATCACATTGTGAGAAATCCAAACCATCTGGTATCCACTTGCAACTTGTAATAATTTCATCAGTCTCTTCAAAAAAATTAGGCAGTGGTCCTTCGTTCTTCACTATCCCCTGCACTCTTTGCTACAAGGTAGAACACAACATAAACACAGTAAAACAAACCAGACGTATTATAATGCACACCACAAAAACCCTAAAACAAACCAGAAGTATTATAATGCACACCACAAAAACCCTAAAGCAAACCAGACGTCTTATAATGCACAACACAAAACCCTTAAACCAAACCAGACCTATTATAATGCACACCACAAAAACCCTAAAACAAAACAGAACTAGCAGAAAATGTAACTCACCGCCAGCCCTGAATAGAACACCCATCTTTTCAGTTGCCCTCTTCTCACTTGCTCCCGATTCAGATAGGCAGCATAGCAGTCAATAACATCCACACTCACACATTTCCCATGTGCCAAAGTCTCTGTGTCCTTTCTATACAAGCAATCGAATCCATCAACGCGACTGAAAAGGATTTCCTTCCTATTTTTCATAATCCATAACAAACAAAACAGTCGGCATTAGAAAAGTACTAATAAGCACTATATAAAAAAATATATACAAACAACCGCATATGTATGAAATCTATACACATTAACTTACAAGTTATTCGAATCCCTTGCATATCGCAACACAGCACCCTTCAACACATCAATATCAACACCGGATGAGCTTCCTGCATTCTTCACTTTAAATTTTTTCTGATTTTTAAAGCAACCCACAAATTAGATAAAACAACACTAAAAACAACTAACACAAACCAAAACTGAAACATAGTACAACAAATTACCTTTGTATAACAAATTACCTTTCCCTCCCTAACTAGCTGACTCAATGTTAAATCTCCACTACCATCACCACCCTCAAGCACCTCACCGGCATCAGCTTCTTTCCTTTTCTCATCAACCACCACATCTTCACAAACATCCCCCATAGCAGACTACAGAAACCAAACCACAAAAGTGTTTAACAAAACCAGATATATGTAAACCACACCACTAACAAATGCAAAACAAACTACTACAAAAGACATGACAAACAAACCAAAAACAGTATAATCCACACCACAAATATTCAAACACAAAACAGTAAGAATACCTTTACGACCTTCTCAACCAAGTTATCCAACTTAGCAGCATCAACACCATCAACATTGTCATCTCCATCATCACCTTGTCCCTTTTCCTCACAGCTGTCCATCTCCATCACCTTCTTAGCATTCTCAGAATCAGCTTCTTTCCTTTTCTCATCAACCACCACATCTTCACAAACATCCCCCATAGCAGACTACAGAAACCAAACCACAAAAGTGTTTAACAAAACCAGATATATGTAAACCACACCACTAACAAATGCAAAACAACCAACTACAAAAGACATGACAAACAAACCAAAAACAGTATAATCCACACCACAAATATTCAAACACAAAACAGTAAAAATACCTTTACGACCTTCTCAACCAAGTTATCCAACTTAGCAGCATCAACATTGTCATCTCCATCATCACCTTGTCCCTTTTCCTCACAGCTGTCCATCTCCATCACCTTCTTAGCATTCTCAGAATCAACACTTTTTTGTGTCATCTCCATTGTCAGATTATCAAGATGATCATCAAGTCCCTCCGAATCTAACACTCCCTTAGGAGAGGTATCATCATTAGCAGTGCCAGCAGGATCATTGTGACCAACATCTGGCACCACAACATCAACACTACCAGCACCATCCTTATCCATCTCCATTGACAAATCATCAAGACCCGGGGACTTTGGACTGTTAGCACCAGTCTCATCATCAGCATTGGCAGCAGATGCATTGCGACCGACATCATTGGTTCCCTTAGCAACAGAAACATCATCAACTCTATCAGTGAAATCGACATTATCTTCAGGACTATCCTCTGGTTGCTGCCCCTCCAGCATCTTTATATGATCATCAACTTGTTCAATGCTCGAACTGTAATGAGCAGCCATCCTCAACAAAGCCCTCTTATAACTTTCCATGTCATTCTTCAACTGATATGCCTACAAAAACACGAAAACAGCCCAAAGTTACTGAACAGCCCAAAAGCAAACCATAAACCTTCTAAAGAATCTCACATTCCTTTTAATGAACACCTAAAACACACTTATACGAACCACATATGTTTGAGTTCTCACAGAAAAACACCTACCAAACGATGAGTACCATAAAATATTCCTTTAACGAAGTAATGCAAACCACTATTCTTTTAATAGAAACCACAAGTACACTAAAGCAAGCCAAAGAACAAACAACAGAAAACACAACTAACCAGCACATGAATAAAATAAAGTATTCCGTAAACAAACTAATGCAAACCACTATACTTGTAAAGCACACTGAAAGTACTCTAAAGAAAGACATAAAACGAATAACACAGAAAAAATCACTCACTTCTTCAACCGAATGAACACCATCCAAGTTGAGGTCAAGATGGGGAAGCTTCGGAAGATCCCCTTCCCTCACCATATCAAGATCATCTACCGGCCTTTTCCTCTTTGAACCCAGCACACGTTCTCGTCCCATTGGTTGACTGGAGGTTGCTTCTTCTTCCATCACTACATCTCGATGACCAATATTGAGATGACCTTCGTCCATCAGTACTTGAAAAGCAGCACTTGCGACTTTGTACGACCTATGCTTACAGGTCGGTATGGGCAGCTCAGGGGGGTTCTTCACACGGTCAAGAATCGAAATCTGCCACATATACAAACAGACAGAAGTCAAGCAACCACAAACAAACTGTGCCAGAAAGATTATAATACACACCACACAACCAGGGGGGGAGGGGCAAAAGCAAACCATAAATATTCTTAAACAAACCATAAACATCTTCAACCACACCAGATTCGTCAATAAACAAACCATAAATGATAAACAATAGCAGAAACATTATAACAAAGGGGGGTAAAGCAAACCATAAATATTCTTAAACAAACCATAAACATCTTCAACCACACCACATTAGTCAATAAACAAACCATAAATGAAAAACAATACCAGAAACATTATAACACAGGGGGGGGCAAAAGCAAACCATTAAAACTCTTAAACAAACCATAAACATCTTCAACCACACCACATTCGTCAATAAACAAACCATAAATGAAACAGTAAACCAAAATTCGAAAAGGGGTATATTTATTCACTTACAAAAAGAAGATGAACGTCACCAGGGAACTTTGACTTTGATTGAACCACTTCAACCATACTGTCATTAAAATGGTCAGCCACATGCTTACACCAATTATATTGGGTGAAGTCAGCAACCATTTCATCTTGCAAAAAACCAGCATAGGAGAGGTTAATCTTCAAATTTCCACTGGGACACAGAACTGCCTCCATTGCATACAGTACAAAAAGATCCCTCCACTTCTTATTGTCCCTCTCCTCTTCCAATGCCAGTTTAACATTTGCCAATGACGCCTTTCCTTTCTTAGTATTGGAAAGCCCTAACTCAATTCCCCACCTGTGCCTCTGGGCTGCACTGAACATATCCAGCTTAACAACATACGGTCCACGCGGCAAACCATAGACTCTCTCCACATCTGCCTCTCCAATTCTAAACTTCCCTGACCGTAGCAGCGGGAAAGACCTTGAACTCACATCAAAGCTTTTGCAAAGCCATTCAATAAAATTATCCGGGAGTCTCGTAAGCTTAACCCTCGACACACCCCTAAAACCCAGAGGATCAAGCATCTGCAGTTTTTCTTCACTTGTACTGTCAGCTTCCATGATGCCAAGAATACGATTAGTATTACTACGATGCCTCTTATCCGGCTTTCCAGGCACAGGAGAAGCACCATCTTTCTCTCGCTTAGGTGTTGCAACTTTTTCTTTTTCTTTCCCCTTTACTGCACCATCTTTCTCTTGCTTAGGTGTTGGAACTTTTTCCTTTTCTTTCCCCTTTACTGCACGTTTCTTAGCAGGTGCCATGCCTACAAAGCAACCAAAACACAAACCAACATAAGCAATCTCATACCAGAACATATAAAATCCAAACCATTAAGGGCCTAATGCAAACTGTAAACCCATGAAAACAATCCAATAATCAAATTTAAAGCAGACAAACAACAACTCCAAATGAACCACCAACATCACCCTGGAAAAACACCAGAAAGGCCCCAATCCAACCCACAAACACCCTAAATGTCACCAAACACAAAGCGCACCACCAAAAAAAAAAAAGAACAAAACAACAGAACTACTGAACACCACCACAAACGACTCAATAATCAGATGTAAAGGAGACAAACAACAACTGCAAATGCACACCAGTAAATCTTCTAAACCAAACTGTGAAATCCGAAACACAAACCACAAAACCTTTTAAAAGAACCACCAACAGTAGCCTGAAAGTACACAATAGTTTTATTAAAACCCTCCAGAAAGGCACCAATCCAACCCACAAACACCCTAACTGTCACCAAACACAAAGCACACCACAAACGACTCATGAGAAACCAGAAACCCTAAAATACACAATAGTTTTATTAAAACCCTCCAGAAAGGCCCCAATCCAACCCACAAACACACTAACTGTCACCAAACACAAAGCGCACCACCAAAATATAGAAAAAAAACAACAGAACTACTAAACAACACCACAAACGACTCATGAGAAACCAGAAACCCTAAAATAATCAAAGCACACCACAAAAATGAAGAAACATCCAACAAAACCTAACCAGAACGCACAACTATGAAATTTCCTCGTCTCCTTCAACAAATTTAGACTGCATGCGTCAAAACATCGCAGAAAACTGGAAAACGAAAGTAACAGAGGGCAAACATGAAAACGAAGGTGGTAAATTCAATAGCAGAAGCAAGCAATGACAATGCTAACGAAAACGAAAACGGCGACGCCAAACTAACACCATACAAGTGGAACTCCGGCGACGCTAAACGACAACGGCGACTTCGCAGACCAAAACTGACGACGGAGGAGAAGACAGTTCCAGTTTATCGGAGGAAATCACCGGCATACCTCGAAATTCACTTCGGCGACGAAGGAAACAGAATCGCGCGAAGGAAATCCACAAGCCGCAGACGAAATCGCTCGATGCAGATGCAAATTTGGTGGCGAGAACAGGGAGACCGAAGCAGACGTCCCGTCGGAGAGCAGTTCGTGAGCAGTTCGTGAGCAGAGGGGAAAGGGGAAAGGGGAAAGCGGAAAACTGAAATGTCTCAACGCGCGCTTCAATGAATTTTATTATTATTTTTGAATTTCAAAATTAATGCCAGGTAAAAGAAAACAATTATTTAATTATTGTGCAGTTATTATTGTGCAGTTACCCTTATACCCCTGTTGTTATAATAACAACACCTTAGGTGTTGTTATGCTATCCGGAGCCCAACCCGGACCTGTTTCGGAAGCGCGCTCCAGACCAGAGGCTGAGACAGACACTTCCCTTATTCCTTCCCTCCCTCTCATCGCGAACGCCCACTTCAACTACTTTCCGTCATTCCTTCCTTTCTCTTCCCGTCCGATCACATACCGCCTCCGCCGTTGCAATCGTCACCGCTCGTCGGTGAAATACGGTCTGAGCTCCGCCGACAGGACTCAGAAGCAGCATAGCCGTTTTTTTGTTCCGTAGCCATGGCTTGGAGGCAGTTAATCTCTCAGGTGAGTACTCCGTCATCTCGTTTTCGTTTTTTCTTTTCCCCCAAACTGCGGAGCATATTTCTGTCTCGCATTATCCTTTGTTTCCTTTTTCTGCCCGTCTTGTGTGGTCTTGGTCGATCGAGCTTTGTAGCTGAAAAACCCTAAGTTCTCGACATCCGCTTCCTCGGCTGTTAATAGAGGGCTATCGAATTGAATATCCGTGCTCAATGGATTGAGAGCGGATTGCCGGTTGACCTCCTTCGCTACATACGGTAATCGAGAATTTATACACGTAATTGGAGCTTAGTTATCATCTGGAGTTGGTGCTAGAGGCTAAGAGATTCTTATAAAATATTGATACTCTGGAGAGTTCATTCTAGATAGTGTTCGGAATGTGCAAAATTTGGTATCTGCTGCCACTGGGCTACCTATCTTACTCTTTTGACCGAAAGTAGAACTCTTTTTCGAGCTTAGAACTGCTGGTGCAGTCCCCTGGTTTGTCCTTGTAGGATCACGTGTCACAGCAAACCGTGTTCTTGTTTCTCTGCATTCCCATTGTACTTTGATCTGTTAGATGCGTGAAGGTGGACTTAACACCGTATGCAATTGTTTGTTTTGCTCTCTTGCTCAATGAAGTTCTTGCATTGAAAGTAATTTTACCTCTGCTTTATTGTAGCATTCTTTGTGGGGTGCAAAACCAGTTATGTTTATATGTTTCTTGTATTGAATACTCTTCTTCTAATAGGTTTCAAGACAACAATCAGAGTTACGACAATGCAGAAGCTTCTTTCTCAGAAACTATTTGTCTGTTTACACATTCAGAAGTGCTACAGGTACTTATTCTTTTTGGGTGAATGCACGTTCATCTCTCTCTCTCCCCCTCTATCTCTCTATATAGTAAACGCTAGCATACACCTTACACATAATATACGCTTTTATTCACACCTATTAAATATACTTTGATAAGAAGGTCCAGCTCAAACTGGATTCCTCCACTGCTGTTGCCATCATCAGGAACTACAAGGACGACAACCACCGCCATGGCATATTTGCTAATCAGTTTAATTTTCTTCGGAATCTTGATTGGGAGGTGAAAGTCGAGCATGTGTATAGAGAAGCTAATTTTGCTGCTGGCTACTTAGCTAATAGGTGTCACCTCTGTGATTTTGGCACTCCCTTCGATGTGTGCGGCCCGGGACTGAACCAGTGGTTGTACCACGACATCGTGGGGGTCTCTCATGACCGGTTTATTTCATCAATTAATTAGACGCCTTGGCGTCGATCTTTCTACCAAAAAAAAAATTACTTTTATGTATTTTGAGGAATTAGAATTGTCGGCTAATATTTTGTTTTATTAAAGTGATCTTATGGTTTGAGCTTAGAGAATTAGTGATTGAGATTCACCCATTAGCGGTTAAGATATAGTATCATGTCCAAACTCCGGCTAATTCATGGTCTAAATAAAAAAGCTAGCTAGCCGTATGCTAGCTTATACTTGGTTCAAGCAATGACCCTTTGAGTTCTCCATATTATTAAATACATTTATCTGACATCCTTAAAGTCTAATTCAATCTTTTTATTTTTTCTGGATTTTCTATCGCAAAACTTATTTATCATATGTTGTTCTCAATCTACAGGCAATGGAGTTCCTAATATTCAAAGGAAATTCCAATCAAGCTATGTTGGCAATCTAGCTCGCAGGGTTCGTGATGCCGATGAAGCTAGTGAAGTTGCACACCTCAAAGAACTTTACCACCGAAATGATCCTGAAGCAGTTATAAAAATCTTTGAAAGTCAATCATCATTGCATCATAATCCTTCTGCCCTTGCTGAATATGTGAAAGCTCTAGTGAGAGTTGACAGACTAGATGAGAGCGAATTGTTGAAGACCCTGCAGAGAGGTACGTGGGTTCCTATATTTTCTTATGTCTTATTTTCTCCTTCTGTTCGGGATTAGGGTTCCTTTATCAGATCATGTCCTGTTTGGAGATTCTTTGTTACCTTCTTGTCTTTGAAAAAGTAACACAGTAATAACCCGTAAACTGCTACGGTGCAAAGTCGAGGCTGATTTACTATTGGTCAATTCAATCTTGGGTGTGTCAGATATGATGAAGCTGAGGGCATTCTATTTTTCTCTGGTGGTGTTGTGTCGGATGTCAATAATTGAGTATAGGTGCGCACAAAATACATTAAGATCAATGCAATTCGTGCGGTTTTGTTTGCCACTGTCTATGAGGGTGAAACTAAGATTAATGGGATTATGGATGAAATCTTAGATTCCACTTCTATTGTCAGTTACCTTGCTATCTGCCGCTGTGGCATTGATATTTGTCATAATTAAGGAGGAGCTACCTGTTTATTTATTGCAGGTATGTCTAATGCAGTGAGACGAGAAGAAAGTTCGGGAGGTCTTTCAGTTTTCAGGAATGCCGGCAAATCAGTGAAAGACGGTGTTCTGGGGACTGCCGGTGCACCAATTCATATGGTTGCTTCAGAAGGAGGTCACTTTAAGGAGCAGCTTTGGCGTACTGTTCGCACTATTGCGTTAGCTTTCTTATTGATTTCTGGTGTTGGGGCACTTATTGAGGACAGAGGAATTAGTAAAGGTATCTGTATTCTGATGTACTATGTTCTTTCTTGGCTCTTCAGCATAATCTGTAAATCATTCATAGGTCAACTATGTTAATAAGTTATTGTCTTGTGTGTCTCAGGACTTGGTCTACATGAGGAGGTGCAGCCTAGCATGGAATCCAGTACAAAGTTTAGTGATGTTAAAGGAGTTGACGAGGCAAAGTCGGAACTGGAAGAAATTGTGCATTATCTCAGAGATCCAAAGGTGTTCTTCACCACCTGTTCCTTTGTTTCTGTCATTACTTGCTGTAGTGCAAACACCTTTATTTTGCGAAATTCCCCTACTTAGAGGTAATGCATACTATGTTATTAAGAACTAAAAAGTGTGACTGTTACCCCCTTCATTGATTGTTTTCTATGGTATCAGCGATTTACTCGTCTAGGTGGGAAGCTGCCAAAAGGTGTTTTGCTTGTTGGTCCCCCTGGAACTGGCAAGACTATGTTAGCCAGAGCAATTGCTGGAGAAGCTGGGGTGCCTTTCTTCTCTTGCAGTGGGAGTGAATTTGAGGAGATGTTTGTTGGAGTTGGAGCCAGGAGGGTAAGGGACCTATTTTCAGCTGCTAAAAAGCGGTCACCATGTATAATATTTATAGATGAAATAGATGCCATTGGTGGTAGCCGCAATCCTAAGGATCAACAGTACATGAAGATGACTTTGAATCAATTACTAGTTGAGTTGGATGGCTTCAAGCAAAATGAAGGGATCATCGTCATTGCAGCAACTAACTTTCCGGAGTCATTGGATAAAGCTCTGGTAAGACCAGGGCGGTTTGACCGCCACATCGTTGTACCGAACCCAGATGTAGAAGGAAGACGGCAGATCTTGGAATCCCACATGTCAAAGGTAATATGCCGACTTGTATAGTAGCACTCATTTTAATTGCTTCACATGAATATTGGACCAAATGTTAATTGCTTCCTGTTAGTAGCGCTCATTTTTTATGGTTAGGTTGTGGATGATGTCCTGGATGACTTAACTATTTCTTCCACACATTGCTGATGAAACCAACTGTCACATGTGCTTGTGAAGGTGATGAACATAGTAACCTCTAAAACATACACTTCTAGAATTTTGGCCAATTCAGGTTCGCTACTGGGTTTAGCTGACTGGCCAAGCCTTTTTCTAGCTCTTGAAAACTTAGAGCACAATATGCTGAACCACCTTTATCTTCCAATTCTTCTAATTATACTGTTGAGCCATCTTCCTTGATGTTGAAGCAATAGAGAATCATTTGTTGCTTTAGTGACCAAACTTGACGGTTCTCTTATTTGTACTGATCTCCCAAGTTTAGATGCAAAGTCATACATTGTCTTCAAACAACCTGAAAGCTTCTGCATTTTTGTTACCCTGCTAAATTGCAGCCATACTTCATGTTTATTTGTTAGAATGAAACAACGAAAATCCCCTCATAATTATAGGAATCAGTCTCACTGGTCCACTGATATTCCTTACAGGTTTTAAAGGCTGATGATGTCGATCTGATGATAATTGCGAGAGGCACTCCTGGATTTTCAGGTGCAGATCTTGCGAATTTGGTCAACATTGCCGCCCTCAAGGCTGCAATGGATGGTGCCAAAGATGTCAACATGATGGATCTGGAATATGCAAAAGATAAGATCATGATGGGAAGTGAACGTAAATCTGCTGTGATATCGGACGAGTCCCGGAAGCTTACAGCTTTTCACGAGGGTGGGCATGCTCTTGTTGCTGTACACACTGATGGGGCTCTTCCAGTTCATAAAGCAACAATTGTTCCCAGGGGTATGGCTCTTGGTATGGTTTCCCAGTTGCCGGACAAGGATGAGACGAGTATATCTCGTAAACAGATGCTCGCTCGGCTTGACATTTGCATGGGCGGAAGGGTCGCAGAGGAGCTCATATTTGGGGAGAATGAAGTTACTTCCGGTGCATCTTCGGATCTCCAGCAAGCCACTAAACTGGCCAGAGCAATGGTTACAAAGTATGGGATGAGTAAAGAGGTAGGACTTGTCAGCCACAATTATGATGACAATGGGAAGAGCATGAGCACCGAGACTAGGCTTCTTATCGAGCAAGAAGTGAAGAACTTCCTAGAGAGGGCTTATCACAATGCAAAGACTATACTCACCACTCACAACAAGGAGCTACATGCCCTTGCTAATGCCTTGCTTGAGCAGGAGACGCTCTCAGGCAGCCAAATAAATGCTTTGCTTGCTCAAGTAAACTCTCAGCAGCAGATGAAACAACAAAAGCAGCATCATCAGGTGGTTGCTCCTCCACAGGGAAGTAGTTCCCAATCGAGCCCGGTGCCTCCCTCAACTCCCAATGCAGCCGCTTCAGCTGCAGCGGCTGCGAAGGCTGCTGCCGCTACTGCAGCTGCGAAGGCGAAAGGCGTTGCCCCAGTGGGATCTTAGCGACAGTAAAGCAGGGGCACTGCTTCTAAGCTTATTTATGTTGAAATAGAATGTTCATATTGTCATCTGACGCCCTCTCCATTGCCATGGTAAGTCTGTCTGACGACGTTTGTCTCTTCTGTAGTGCTGAAAGCTTTGGATGGATTGGTTGATGGGAGATCATTGTATGTCATTTGCGACTTTGTTAGAACCACATTAGGGAACATGGGATGAGATGGACCCTTCTAGAATCGGGCCTTCATCCTTTCTTTTTTCTTAGTTTTTTTTTAAAAAAAATTTAGTACTCTGCTTTATCTTTATTTCTCGCATAATTAGTTTGTTTAAGAATAGAATGTTATACGCCAACTAAAAAAAAGAAAAGAAAAGAAAGAGGAACAGTGTTAGAAAGGAAGAACTAACACTGTAGAATCCAACAACAGTTCCCCCAGGCCCCAACGATGATCGAGTTACTTCATCCGGACTACTAGAAATAAAAGTTGAAACTGGGTTTGAGGTAGTTAAGAGGTATGTCTATTTGACTAGGAATCACCCAAATGTTACTTGTACCCTATCTTATTTAATATTTAATTGCTATTTTATTGTATAATACTTTTGTATCATTTGTATTCTGGTGCTTCGTTGATTATTAGAGATAATGGTTGTTGAACAAACAATTGTCAAATTAATTTTGACTTTCGATGACGTGATAAAAGATGTGACATCCATGTAAATACTAGGGGTGTACATGGGTCGGGTGGTTCGGGTTTAACCATTTTAATCACCCGATCCATGCACTACGGTTTGGGAATTATCAAACCCAAATCCACCCAAAAAATTTTAAACCCTACGGTTTGGTTCTAATTGGGTTGGGTCGGGTTGGCGATATTTTTAAGTAAAAATCCAATCCAACCCAACATAAAATTTATAATTATTTTACATCATAAAAAATATTTTAGAACTAATTAAAATTTCAAACGAATAAACCGAGGTGAAAGGTATCAAAATTCACAAATGTTGTTTGAATTTTAATAAAATGTGATTTACTTCAATATATGTCTAGTTTTTTTCACGATATTTGTTGAAATAGGCTAAAAAGGTTATAAACAAACGCATCCATAATATGTTATTCTATTAAAATTGTACACAAGAAAAAGGATTACGTGAATCATAACTATATTCAATTTATGTCTAAACTTTAAGTCGAAGAATGCATTAGATTAGGGAGACCATGATAGAAAAACATGACGAAATATCTTAATTTTCTCTGCTATATACGACATAAATATTTTTTAGATACGAACTCATACTAATGGTTGGAACACGGGTTGGGTCGGGTTCTACGGGTTGTGTAATCCAAAATTCAAACCCAACCCAAAAGAGGCGGGTTGTACAAAAGAAAACCCTCACACAACCCAAAACCTTCGTTTTAGCGATAAATACGGGTGGGTTGGGTCGGGTTGGACGGGTGGGTCGGTTTGCGGGTGTGTTTGTTCACCCTAAATACCACGACATTGCCACCTATTTTAATACAAAGTTAAGTAAAAGCAAAATAAAGAGAAAAATTGAAAACTTAAAAAAAAAAAAAAGCATCTTCTTCACCCATTGCCGATCATTCCCCTTCATTCACTGTTTAATCACTACCACCCTATGTAACAACAATTTGGTTATGGTGCTCATAGGTGAGATTGGAGACTACATCTCACTAATTGATTTGGAGAGCTGTGATGGGTTGGTTACGAGAAGCGCTTAGGTAAGAAAAAAGAAGAGTCAAGTACTTTTTTAGTGGGCGGGTCCAACAATTTAATTGGCATTTAATGCCCCACTCATCTTATGCTTTCATTTTAATTTTTTTTTCTTCCTCTCTTAATCTTAGAGATGAGAATACTAGTTCGATATTTTTGAATATATGTTCGACATCTATTAATACTTGTTCATTTGTGTAGAATATTTGTTGGTCTTAGAGATGAGAATACTAGTTCGATACTTTTGAATATTTCGTGGGCCTTGGTCCAAGTTCGGTCTGCTGAACTACCAGTCCTGCTTGTTTTGGCCATAAAGTGAGCATCTGATGTCCACGTCCTTCTCTGTTTGAGCCCATGAGTTCGTATTCTCCTTGTCCTTCTGATTCGTTGAGTCTCTTGGTGATCAAAATACATTTTGTGTGATTTATATCCTTGAAAAGCACAAAACATTATCATAAAGGCATCAAATAGTACAAAAACACTCTCAAGGTCTATCATAAGCTCATTATCCAAATAGCTATGAATTCCATATGAAATAGTTATGATATCCAAATAGTCTATCATAAGCTCATTATCCAGATCTTCAACCATTCTTCTCGACATATGAAACACGAGCAGGGTACGCCGTGTTTTCCAGCACACGTGTTTCCCACTGTCGTCATGATTCCTCTCGGCAATAGAAACAGGCAGGGGCTAGGGAAACACAGTTGTATTTCTATGAGACATGCCCGTATTTTTCTTCTTGTTGCCTCCCGAGTCTCCAAAGTATCTCCAAATGACCCGAAAGTTGCACCTAGGCCCCCATTTACCTGCTAAAATGCGATAGAAGAACACAACCTAGCGTAAAATCGACCAAGAACCACACAAATTCAGGCCAAAACGATCAAAAAACAAGGGTGCAAACATGTGGAATATGACGTTATCAAATTCTTCCACACTTAACCATTTTCTTGTCCCCAAGCAAACCAAGTAAAACACAAGGCAAGCTTATAAAATTTTTCTTGAAAACTTTTAAGGACATATCATAGACACACACAAAAACATGAATCACCTTGGCTTTTTGACATCGATGCACAGAACAACAGAAAATGACTTGTCTCAACTACTCACTGGTCATAGTCACCCATGCATAAAGTTCAAGACATTAGAATCAAAGACCGAGCAATCTAGGTCCTCGATGGGATGTATAGTATGAAAATAATGAATCAATCACTCTCAACCAGTGGGGTCAGGACAATTTGATGCAAAAGATGTGCATGCTCAATCTCTCATCCCCAACATCTTTTCACCATGATAGTAGCCTCTAAGGGTTAGAGTTCACAACGCAGGTGTCACCACTAACTTGTCAGGAGGACATGACCGAGTTCAAACGCAACTGGTTAGGGTCTAGAACATGGGGAACATGAGTTTTAGGTGATGGTAACATTCATGACACAAGGGTCCACAATTCCAAAAACCAAAACATCAATATTCAACCAAACTAGTTACTTCTTCTGCTGTTATTATGCATTAATAAAGTTCTTTAAAGCACAAGAGTGAAGGGGGTAATAATGCACTAGTGTCTCTAAGCCAGTCTGCTCAGAAACACTCACTTTTATGAGCAAGATCATCGCTTTGTGATCGTTCTCTTTTGCTTTCATTTTTTCTTTTTTCCTTTCTTTTTGAGAACCACAAACGTTTGCCACATTATTTGTCTTTTTAAACACCTGCCCAACTTTTAAGAACTGCATCCCTGACTCACTTCTATTTTTAGCAAAAAAAAACATGCAAAAACCACTTTGCGGAACTTCTAAGAGATGCATAAGGTTGATTTTTCATTGTAGACACAAAGAAAGGAAGTTGCATGGCTCAAAGTGGCTAACTAAGGGGTATGACACACCAGGACAATCAATTTGGCCATGGGCTAATCTTATGCCTTCATCTTCCTAATCAGTGGCAACGTGAATGTTATATATCATGGTAAGAGGGATCTATCGCACAAGAAAGAAACAAGAACGCACAAATCTCACATGGCTACCTGAGTGCTCTATCCCTAATTTTGATTCCGTGATATCGATGCATGGACAACTGTAAAGAGTGAGTAATTAATCAAAGTCATAAGTTTGTTTGCAAGCAGTTGAAAACTGAACCCCTACACAATTCTATTGCATATCTCAGTCATCATAACAGGTTGTCTCAATCGCAAACAATTCATTCATGCATCAAAGCTCATAGCCAACAGATTCAAAACAAACAACACAAGTGCCAATATGATCATGCAATTAGGGAAATTTTTGCTTGGAGCCCTCGATTTTTTTTTAATTTGGGTAGTGGACTATACTCCAAACAGAAAAGGGAGCAGAGGTTTATACTCAACCACAACTAGCTAGGGTTGTGAAGAATGAACCTCTAACTCCTTTTCCTACACCGGGTCTTCCTCTGGCACTCACTACAAGAAAACACCTATTTAATGTCGGTTATTTTATATGTTTAGTGTCGGTTTTAACACCTGCACCCAGGTCTTCCTGAGGGACTCGTCATCCTTCTGCGCAAAGTGGGTAATCGCTTTTTGCAAATCCGCTGTCTTGGATGGGGGGATGGTAGCGATTTAGGAATTTTTTACCAAATCGACCCATGATGTGATAGACCCTGGTGCACTATTATCCGACCACGCCTTAGCCCTTCTATATAGAGAGAATGGGAAGTAGTGAAGTCGGATCGCGTCTTGAGGTACACCATTGATTTTGATCCCTATTAGCTCATGGAATATATTGAGGTGCTCTCATGGGCACTCACCTTGCAGCCCATTGAACACCACCGAGGTCTTTAGCATTAGAATAACATAAGTCTTCACCTCAAAGTTGTTTGCAGCACCTTGAGGGTGCTTGATACTTGACCTCAAGTCCTCTACCGTGGGGTTCAGATAATACCCCATAGTCCAAACGTCTGGTTGTGGTCGGGCCCCATTCACATCCCCCACTTGATTGTTGGGATCCCACATCTCCTCTTCTGCGGTCATCTCTTTGTCGCTCTCGGATTCTTCTGCAATGAAAACCTGGTCCAGGTTCTCCTCCGCAGCTAGTCTCTCCTTCAGTGCTTTCTTGAACTAAAGAAGAGTCCTTTCAAGCTCATGATCTAAAGGCTTACTGGCTGCGGGCGATTCACTACCTACACACAAGCTGGAAACACAACCCATGAAGGCAAACCAATAGGAAGAAAATGCAGGAAAGTAAGCTAAAGTAAATGAATTCACGTATCCTCAATAACCTACACGTCCCCAAAAATGTCACCAAAAACTTGACTAAAAAAACACAACACTCAGGCCAAGTATAACTTGTGGAAGGGATTACATTAAAGTGGATTAAGTTCTATTTGTCAACTCGGGTCCTAGATGTACTGTTTACTCAGTGAATTCTCTATTATCTAGTGATCAAGTTTTAGTGAAGTTGTTTGAAAACTAAACAGAAAAGAAAGCAAGTAAATTGTCATGGTTTTGAAATAAAAGAGTAGCCACTCAGCACTCAGGTATGTATCCCCCTAGATCCTCAGTTAGGACTAAGTTGTAATTCCATGTAG